ACGGTCATACGTCTCTGACTTCAAATTTCAAAATCACAGTTCTTGTTCTTCACTTTACACTGCAGAGGCTGGGGGGCCACCCACCTGACACCTGCACCCTGTCTTTCACTTCCTTCATAAACATACATTTACATCAACAACTCTTATTTTTGACTCAATAATTTTTCTTCTCTATTCACATGTCAAAACACACGTTTCAATCAAACCCTTAGTACTATTAAAATATACTTATAAAATTTATTCATGTTTATTACTTTTCATCTAAGTAATAAAATTAACATACAATAATTTCTTATATTCATATAATATCAAATTAATTTAATTAAATCAACCTTTATAACTTGCGTTCAATATCCAAATACAATTATTAATTTACAATAATTTCAAAAATAAAAATCACAGTTTCATCCGAAGAAATATAAAGTAATCAATCTATCATTATTTAATTACTTAATCTTATCAACTTATATCACAATTATAAAAAAAAACTTAAGTTTATTATCTTAAAATTTTGAATTCTACATAGATTAGACTCAAGCTTAATCAATGTTGCATATGTATCTTTCAGTCTAATCTATATAGATTAGACTAAAGGTTTGTCTCGACAATCTACTAAGACAAATATAGTATAATTTTTATATCAAAACTCATTTTTTTGAATGAAATTGTATCTCTAAGAATGTTGAGCATCTATTAGAAAAACTAATAAAGTCATTATCTCAAAGATTGTCTATTTTTTCACATACCCCTATATTTTCTTCTTTAACCCCATAACTCAAACTAAATTATCTAAATAGCCCTTATTTAAAAATTATTAAAAATGCTAATGTGAAAGTGACTTTCCCCTTCCATTTAACATAACTCATTCAATTTCAATTCAGTCAAATTTCATATTAAATCCAAAATTAACTAATGAACCTATTATTTGAATTTAATCTCAGATGCAATGACAAAAACCTTGTATATAATTGAAGCAAGAGAAAAAAAAAAACTTACTTTGATCTATGAGTAAACATTTCCTTCACTTTCTTACCGACACTTTCTAATAGAAAAAAAGTGAAAATTAACTTCAAGAGCGTAATAAAAATATTTTTTAGAAAGTAAAAAGGCATTGATATTTACAAATAAATATCTAAATTATTAAAAAAATTAATTTATACAGTGAACATGATAAAATTTTAACTTTTATTTTAATTTCAAATAAATATCTCTACTACACTAAAACCAAGTATCAATTACAATGATACTGATACGATAATAGTTAGTAATATTTTTTTTCATCACACTTTATAAATTACTAAAGTTTATTGAAAATCATAACTTGTGTCGTTTATTGTTTAAAAAATATTTTTTAATTTTTAATTTCTAGTAATTTATAATAAATAAAAGAGTTTGAGTTGGAAATAGTATGGAATGTGAGGTAATGGTATAGGCTATGGTTTTGAATTAGTTGTTAGAACATGCATGAGGAATCCATGGGAAAAAATTAGTAGAACCTCATGAATGGTATCAATTGCATGTTTGTTCAGAAATCGACATTCTTGGTATTGATGTGATAGCTCGATCGATCCCTTCGAATCGTTATCAAGAGGGAATTTTTTTTTTTGGACTGCCCAACGACCAACCGATATTGGTCAACTATGGCTTCAGTTATGTCCCTGCTTTCAGCTACACTTAGTTATTAAGTTGTTCTCACGCTTCTAAACATTATATATTTATGTCTCTGTTTATACGAATCAAATTAAATGTATAATATTTTGTTTATTTATATGATAAAATGTTTAAAAGTTAAATTGTTTTTAATTTTTATATGTGAATGTAAAATTAAAATATGTTTATGTATTAAGTTTTAATATATTTTGATCTTTAAATTTTAAAAGGGAATAATACAACTTTTTTAATATGATAATGTGAGATATAGAGGTCCGATAGGATATGAAACAATATATTCAACAAACCATAAATATCGTTAGAATGAGCTGTAACCATAACTCATGTTAAGAAGTTGATTGAAGTCTAACTCAATCTTACAAAACCGGTTTCTAAGGAGAGATTTGCAGTAACTTATATATTATAAATTTGTCTTATCTCTAATCGATGTCGGACTTTCAACAATTGCAATTAACATTTGAGTTAAACTTGTTAAAACAGTATAAACAACACAAATATCTTCCTAAAATATGTTTGACACAATTAACACAGTTAAGTTAAAGAGATAACCACTTTCATTTTTAAAGTTTAAAACCAACCTATATCAAAATTTAGTACAAGATTAAAATTTAATTTTACATCAAAATTTACTCTACTAGAAAATTCTTAAAGAGTGTCAATTTTTGTAATGAAAAATAATTAATCACCATAACAACCAATTTAAATAACAATTTATAAGCTGTAATCTATTAATAATTAAAATATTTTTCATTATAAATAAAAAAAATTATAATTGATCTCTATAATTACAATATTTTTTATAATAAATTAATCTTTAAATTAGTCATTAATATTAGATATCAAATAAATTAATGTCTAAATAAGTCTTTAAATATATTTTTAATCACTAAAAATTATTATTATTTAAAAAATTTCTTATAATATTAAAAATTAAAAATATATTTTATCCTTAAATTAATAACCAACTTTACATACATTTATGAAGAACAATAAAATATATATTATATATTGACCAGCTAAAAGATATGTATGCTCCACCATCTCCATCTATTTATCTAAAAACATGGACATTTTTCTTAAAAAAATTAATGTTAATTATTATATGACTCAATTTTTATATATAATAGATTATTTTAAAAGTGATATAAATTAAAATTTCAAAATATGCTTGACATACTCGTGTGTGTGTATTCTCCTCTCGTCTTTTATCTTATGGCATATGCGTTGATATCGTTTATGTATGAAACTTTTGAGTATTTGTTTGTTTAAAACTATAGTTGATGTTTTATTTATAATTTTCTTTTAAACAAGTTAGACATTTTCTATTTCTATTTGAGTTTTTTATTTTTAATTTTTTTAGAATAGAATTGGATTGAATTTCAAATTAAGAATTTGCAAATGTGATTTATTTAAAATGATGGTTATAATAGTTGCTTTAAACTTTTGGAATTATTTTGAGTAGACGGTGTATTCGAAGTTATTATATGAATGAGTTTAGAATCACAATTTTGAAATATCATAATACTATTGTAGTTTTGAAACTTTAATTATAGGATTAATTGTTGATTTAACTTGTTTAAAATAAATTAGCTTAATAAACAGAGAAAAAGTTTCGAAAAGTTTTTATGTTTTGCAATTTTGGCTAAAAAAAATTGTATGAAAATGTTTACTATTTTTTTAAAAAATAAATAAATAAAAATTTGCAGTTTTTACAATTGCTAATTAAATAGTAATACTTTTGTTCAGTATTTGTAATGATAGATCTTGAATAACTTAAGAAACAAAACTTAAAACAAGAAATCGACAACTTATATCTGTATAAATATAAGCACAAATCCGTAACAACTTACTTCTGTAATAAACAACGATAGTCTTACTAAAAATATATTTACTTTTACCTTTTTATATAATAATAAATACTTTTTTTACATTACAAGTACATCATTTGACTTTTTATTAAAAAAAATGTGCAAATTATTTTTGTTTAAATAAAATTTTGCACGCTCCACTTGCATTTTCGATGGACTCCAAAAGACTCTTACTGTTTAAAAAAATTAATTAAGATAATAATTTATTGTAAGATTACATACCCCTTACAAAATCTTAATTTAAACTCTAATTATAAAGAAGGCTCATTTTTTCCCACAGCGAAATTTCATGTTTACTCTCTCAAGCTTATTTTTCTTTATTCTTCTCATGACTTATCTGAAAGCTTAAATGTAAATTATTACCCGACGATGTTTGTATCCTAACCGTTGGATTGTAATAATTACAGAATCTTACTCAAATTTTCTTCGGGTTGCTTCTGCTTGTGGCCCAACATAAAATAAAATAAAAATACAGACTTCAAAAGAATGGGCCCATAAAAATACTAAGAATATAAATTAGTTTGTCTAGAAATTAATAAAAAAAATATATGCTGACGAATAACTAGGCTAATAGTGATTAAAACTAGGTACATAAAGGGATTATTGTATATTTATAACAACTATTACTTGTTACTTTGATATTTTTCATATTGTAAATATTGATCTTTAAAACAAATTAAATATATTATTTTTTATTTAATACTCTGTATATAAAGTAGAATTAGAAATTTTAAATAATTTATTTATTATATATCCTTCAATTATTTTCAAAACATAATAAAAAACTATAATTAGAAAATTATATATTATCTTAAAATTAAAAAAAAAATAGATAAAAAAGAACAATTTTTTTTAAAAAGAAAAACATTGTGCAGAGATAGGAGTATTTCATACATAAAGGGTTCTGACCAAAAGGGAAAAATCGTAAAGCATAGGTAAACACTAGTGCATCCATTAATTAATTGCAAGATTAGTACTTATGGCCTTAACGTAGTTAATTGGATTTCCCCTACATTTCCTTTAAAATTATTGATATTTAAAACTGACATAAACATGATAAATGTATAATATTTATAGTGACATAAGATGATAAAGTCATAGTTTGTTTGTCTTTAAATGGTAAACCGGTTTATTAAATTGGGACGTGATGGGTAAAATTACCTTATGATTCCACTTGGCAAGAGAAATTTCTCATATCTAATTTTAACTTATAACTTATTTTATGTTATCATTGTTTTATATAAATATATATTAATACTAATAAGGATTAGAGTTTTAAAATCATCAAATAATACTAAAAGAAGAAAGAGTAAGAGAAGCCAAATCCTTCCTATAAAATAGATAAGTTTTGATTTTGAACATTTGTATGCATCTCTTTGGCTCATTCACCTCAAATGAATATTCTTTGACACTAAGTTTTTTAAGCTTTAGGTTTCTTCCGTGGTTATATTAATCCTCAATTTCACCACAATTCTATCTTCATTTTATTGTGGTTGAAATAGCCCTGTTATTTGCTTTATACCAGTTTAGTTTAAACATGGAAGATAGCATGTTCAAAACTATGGCATGGTGTTTTGCCTTGCTACTTTTCTATGTCATGATTAGCTTTGTGAACACTATGTGGTGGAGACCCAGAAAAATTGAGAAATTGTTGAGGAAGCAAGGGATTAGAGGAACTTCATACAGGTTTTTTACTGGTGACACTTCAGACATGAAAGACTGTATCCAAAAGGCATTATCAAAAACTATCTCCCTTGACCATCAGATCATCCCTCGAGTCGTCCCTTTCATGCACCAAATCGTTCAGCAACATGGTAAATTAGTTTTACCATCATAATCACTTTTAAAACAACATTTCTAACACGTTTCTTGTACTGGGATTAAGTTAGTTTTATTGCTTTTGTAGTGAATGATTAATCAAAGTAATGCTATTTATGTGTATAGGAAAGATTTCACTGTGTTGGTTTGGAAGAACACCAAGACTCATAATAGCAGATGCAGAGCTCACACGATCGATTTTAACAGACACGAAAGGGCACTTTTTGAAGCCACCACGTAACCCTCTCATCAATCTTCTATCGTTAGGATTGTCTTCGTTAGAAGGCGAAATTTGGAGCAAACGCAGAAGGGTGGTAAATTCAGCTTTCCACCTTGAGAAGTTGAAGGTAACTTTTTATATCCCAAACACTTTTCTTTTCTGCTCCTTTCTGTCTTTAACACCAGTAAATGATAGCTTTTTTGTCGATTATCCTATTCCAACAATGATCAAAACAGTTCAATCTTATACAGTAACAGTAGAGATTAAGCAACAATGCTGATATAGTTTTGAGTTATATTATAGGCAATGATGCCAGCATTTTCAATCAGCTGTAACAACATGATCGAGCGATGGGAGAAATTAGTAGAAGCTCGTGGATGGTATGAATTGAATGTTTGTTCAGAATTCGACATTCTTACTGGTGATGTGATAGCTCGAACAGCCTTTGGAAGTAACTACCAAGAGGGAAAGAAAATTTTAGAACTGCAAAAGGAGCAAGCAGTCTTGGTCAACGAAGCCATCAACAACATCTATATCCCAGGTTACAGGTACGACACATAAACCATTATGTTTATTTATGAAAACTTAAAACCTGATCAACCATCAGAAGCAAACATTATTCATGGTGAGTCTTTCAAAGCTAATCTTATTCTAAAATCCACGAACTACAAATATAATGAACTGTTTTTTTTATCAGGTTCCATTGTGAAAGTGACCTTTGGTTATAAAATACAAATTTGAAATCTAAAAGTATTGGATGATTTGTACTCACTTCACTTTTTATGATTGCATGAACCTAGATTTTTACCAACCACAAAGAACAAGCGCAGGTACAACCTAGATATCCAAATCAAAGCTATGTTACGAGATATGATACAGAAGAAAGAACAGGCAATGAAAGAGAATAAAGTGAAAGAGCATGATTTATTAAGTTCACTGCTACAGTATAGGGAAGAAAGTGGTTCTTTAACAACAGATAATGTGATTGAAGAATGCAAGTTGTTTTACTTTGCCGGCCAAGTGACCACGGCCAACTTGCTTTCATGGACTGTGATTGTTTTATCTATGCATCCAAATTGGCAAGAGAAGGCAAGAACAGAGGTGTTGAAGATTTTTGGCAAAAAAACACTTGACTACGAAGACATTAATCACCTCAAGATTGTAAGTTCATTGTCTGTTATTGTTGTTGTTGTAATGATTAGTTTGAATAAAGAAGAAAAAAATGACCACCAAGTGTTTGACTATATGCAGGTGTCAATGATACTGTATGAAGTTTTGAGATTATACCCTCCTCTGGTAAACATCAACAAATACAGTTGCTGTGAAACAAGAGTGGGAAACATTTCCATTCCAGCAGGGGTTGAACTGTGTTTACCTTTGTTACTTCTTCATTATGACAGTAACTATTGGGATAAGCCTGAAGAGTTCAACCCAGGTAGATTCAGTGAAGGGATTTCAAAAGCTTCAAAGGATCATATCGCTTTCTATCCATTCAGTGGGGGCTCAAGAATTTGTCCTGGCCAAAACTTTGCCTTCTTAGAAGCAAAGATGGCTCTGGCTTTCATTCTTCAACACTTCTCTTTCCAACTCTCACCCACTTATGCTCATGCTCCAGCAACTTCTACTATTACTCTCACGCCACAGCATGGTGCTCCCATTATTATTCGTCGCACTTAGTCCTGATCAATCAACTGAAATAAGCATCGTGAACTGCACTTCGATCATCTTATCTATTTTATCATATTAATTATTACTTTTAATGAATAATGTGTATTAATATCAAATTAAAAAACTACTCTTCAATTTAAATTAGTCTTTCATCAAACTTTGGTTTAGTTTTATATCTTGGGTATTTCCAATATGAATTATTGAGTTTTGTGGTGTGAAGAAGTGTTTTGGACTGATATGGGTAAGTGGTAGAAAAGAAGAAAGACGTATAGGGGAATGTGAAATATTAAAATAGGTGGCTATGATTCTATAAAGACTAAGCAATGATAGCATGAAGAAATAGGGTGTGCATAAATGTATTTTTATGAGAGGAGTAAGACAAATTAGAAAGCAAAAGGCAGTTGTTTAACAGGACATATAGGAAGAAAAAGATAATAAGGTGATAGTTGAGTTTGTATCTATAAACCGAACCTCATGACGTGACTGAGATCTTTTAAGAATCTCAAACATGCCTCCTATTACATCACAAGTCAATCTTTGTTATAACTCGCTTCGGCATGACCTAGTTCCCATGTTAAGCGCAGATCACAACAAAACTAAGCAAAATGCGAAATGCTATAAACGTCGGCACTATAGTTTAATAATCTCAATGCATCAAATGAAAATGTAAAGAAAACCACACACTACACAACATAAATTAAAATTGGTGTGATTTTAATTTTGTTTTATTACCCACACTTTTTCAACTATGGGAGTTGTTACGATTTTATTTTTCTTCAAGAAATGGCATAATGTGAGTTGAGTTCTGGTAATGATAAGTGTTTTTGATTTGTGGAACTTGGCTTAAATCAAAGATAAAATATTGAAGCAATTCCACACTACAAAAGTGCTGTGTGCGCAGGCGCATAACCTTTCATTTCAAACTCAATTGCTTTCGTCACTATCTTTTCTCTCCTATTTATTCAAATCCAGATAAGATGAGACCATAGTAAACTTAATTTTGTAGCACTGACAATGTAATATTTTAAAAATTAAATATGTGTTTAGTCTTTTGAATGTAGAATAAGAATTAGTTTATATCTCAAATTATATATATATATATTTTATTTCTAATGAATAAATAATTTTTTTAAAATTAATTCAGTTAAATCTTTTTACATTATATCTCAAATTATATATATATATATATATATATATATATATATATATATATTTTATTTCTGATGAATAAATAATTTTTTTAAAAATTAATTCAGTTAAATCTTTTTACGTAATGACATTTTAGATTGACTTATAACGTGTTAAATGATACAGAATAATGACATCTATTTATTTTTAAAGTTTATAAATCTAGATATATTAAAATTTGAGATAATAACAAATTTCAATTTTGTATTTAAGATTAACAACTACAAGCACATATATTTAAATAATACATCTTTTTTGTTATTAAAATTTATCGAAATATTCAAGTATATATGTCGTAAAGTTAATTTTATCATAATAGATTTAGTAAGCATTTGGACTTAACTATATTAAAAGAATTAATATCTAATTATGAAAAAAAAAACTTTCTAAACTATTATCAAGTACACATTCTATATGCCTAGTTAACGTGGAATCCAAGCGATCATTAATACAAAAATAATTGTATTTGGGTTAACTTCAGTTAGTCAGTTGATTAGTTGATGAAAAAACAAATCAATTTTTATCTAACATGGTAAACAAGCTTTTATTTTGGTTCAAGATTTGTTATCAATCATATACTGATTTATATTATGTAGATAAAGAAATAACTGTACCTTTTAAATTAACCATGCTATAATTTTTATATCAAATTTGGTTTACCACTTTTCCATCATAAAAAATTCTTTACAAATTCCTAAGTCAAAATATAAAATTGTATTGCAGATTAGTCAGGTGATTTATAATAAAAGTGAACTTTTATTCTTAATATAGTATTAGAAACAGTAAAAAATTAGCCTAGATTAATATTAAAAATACAAATATTAATATTAATATTTATAATAATACTAACAATAATAATACTTATAATAATGTTACCAATGCTAATAATAATAATAATAATAATAATAATAATAATAATACTAGGTAATGCTACTACTGCTAACAATAATAATGCTAATAATATCATGACTAATACTACTAATACTAATACTAGTATTATTTCAAAAAAATAATACTAATTAATAATATTTAATACTAAATATAATAGTAAGAATAATACTAATAATAATAACAATACTAACACTAATAATAGTAATAATAATAATAATAATATTTATACTAATATTACTAGTGCTAATACTAATAATATTACTATTAATAATAATGATATTCTACTAATACTAATAATACTACTAATGTTAATGCTAGTAATAGTACTACTAATACTAATAATATCAGTATTAATAATAAAAATATATAGTTTGGAATCCTAAAATGGAAAATTATAGTTTTAGAAGTATTTCATTTGACAACCATTTTAATAATACAATAATATGATTTAAAATTTTTAATTTTAAAAAATATGATTAAAATATTAATATTCTAAGTGGTACAGTGTTATTTTTATCTTTGATAGTGTTCGTGTATTACGCCTCTTATTACATATCAACCATTATCGATAAATAAAAATTTTCCAAATAACAAAAATATTAATAATGTGAAAAATCAAGTCCATGAAAAATCAGATGCTTTATGAGTATAAAAAATAAACTAAAAGAAATAAGAATAGTGGGCATTGAAGGCCAAAAAACCAATAAAATTTACAGTTGTCAAAAGAGTGATTAATTTAAGAATTATTCACACACGCATATTACAACTTGTATTCTTTAAATAAATTATTTTATTTCATCGATAAAAATTGTGGAAAAATAATAAAATTATATAAATATAAATTCGATAAATAAAAAACTAATAATTAGCTTAATAAATTTTATATTCCATATTTAGATAAACATAAAAAAAATTGTGTTTATTAAACCACACCACCAAGAATTCAAATTGTCCTTTTTTTTCTCTGAGTAAGAAAAACAAGAAGTTGCTATGGTTTGAAAGGAAATTTAATTCATACGACCACGGTAAAAAAAAAATTAAATAACTTTTTTTTCATTAATATGTTTTTTAGTATTACTAAAAGGAAAATGCAAATAAACATAAGATAAATTCTCTTAATCTTACCGCGAGTACGCGTGATTTCTTTTTCACTCTCTCCGCTAATTAAATAATTACTATTTGAAAATACGTTATTGAAACACTGCAATAAGACAATAAAAGGAATAAATAGTAAAATTATTTTAAAAATATGCATCCGGCCAGACAACATGGCCTTGATTGATAATTGATTACAAACATTGTAACAGGATATCAATAATTGATATGGTAATTGATTACAGCTTGATACTATTAGTAATTGGAGTGTGACCTAATTTCTTATATCTAGATCATATTAGTTACATCTACAACACAATACCATATAATAATTTTTTTTATGTACTTCAGAGATATTATTGTCAATTGTTAATTAACAGTGATTTTAGCATTTAAAAAAGTTTTAGATAAATCAATGTAGGCGTAAGTTTTCGAAAATGTTATAATTTATTGATTTCTTTTTGAAAAAGTAGTAATAATACAAAATAAAACCGCTTTATTATTTTTATGAGAAAGTAAAATAAAATTTAATTTCTTCCTTCAATGTTTCTCCTCATCACTTGCCATATGTCACACATCTTCGTAGTCTTCACCTATTAATGGTCTTCCTGCTCATTCCACCATTAAGCATATGCCTTGCTGCCATTGATGCAGTTCCCTTTTACATTATTTCAAAAACATATCATTATAGTTTGTCTTTATTACTTATTTTATGTTATGCTTTATTAAGTTGGTCAATAATATTATCTCTAAATAAATTAACGAATTTGAGTCTCGGTGTTAAAAGAGATTAAACTTTTAAACATATTAATTCGCATATAATTTTACAGTTTATGTTAAAAAGTAATCAATAATGTTACATTATATCATATCTATTTAAATAAGCTACATTACTGAATTAAAAAAAAAATGTTAAATGATATCCATAGCTTTAATATTTTAAAAGTAAATACGTGTTTAATCTGGGATAAATTTACCTGACTGGTTTCTATTTTGAGTGAGTATCTTTTCACCATTGCAATGATTGTAGATAATGACGATTTGATAGTGGAGTTAAGTAAGATGCATTTAGCCATTGAATAATGTTTATGTTATACTCTTTTTATCTTTTTAATTATTTTATTTGTCATGGAAAGAGATGTAGTAATTGTTCATGAACAGTTAACAGAAGAACCTGATACTAATTTAGGAATTATGACTTTGAAATAAGTTTAAAAAAATCTCCTAATTTAGATTTTTTAATCATTTAGAGTTAGGTTAGTAACCACAGGTAACTTAAAAAAAGGTGTTTCTTTTTCTCTTTTTATTAAGAAAACTGTAAAAATACAAATTTTGTATTTTCTTATAAAATTGAAGTTTATTAATAATATTTAAAAAAAAAAGACGAAAAGAAGTTTTTGTGGGTGGGACGATGGAAGCTCACTGGAAGTGCATGGGACTGCATTCACAGTATAAGATGTCAGGGAATAATATAATAATAATTCAGGAATTCAAAAACTTGCACAAGTGGCAGACAATTGGTGTGGAAGGATCATAGCGTCAACGGAATATTGAAAGGGGCTAATGACGTCATAATTCTAATGAATCCAAAAAATACCACTACTGCTTTTTTAATTATTAAAAATTACAAATAAATCCAAATCAGCCAGTATTTAATGCCAAACTTCACCTGGAAGAAGAAACAGAAGAACTGCACACTCTTGAGAGTTTATGCAAATTTTGTTTGGTCACAACAAATAACTTCCTCGCTGCCCAAGATGCTAGCTTATTTGGAGCACTTCGTTCACGAAAAAGATGCTGAATCCAGGCAAGACGACGAAGTTGCCAGCCTCTCCAGAGCGCTTGAACTTCAAGCCAGTATCGACGAATTGGGTCCCACCGGAATCGCCAGTAAGGATTTCGGCGGCATC